CCCCGTTTACTTGATATCAAATGAAAGGTCTTACTATATTGCACATGTTTTATTATATATGTCTTAACAAAATATTAACAGGTAAAAAGATATAAAAGAAAACGTGTCAATTTTTGCGAGATGAGCATGAGGCTATTTTCGATCCCAGGCGAGCGTCGATGCCTTCTTACCTGGAAAGCTCTATATGCAAAATGTCACATCTACTATCCTTCCTCTACCTTCACTGAAAATCTCAAGTCGATATCTTAAGTCGTTTAGGAGGAGATCTCAGGACAAGCTGACCCTCTAAAAATCAGTAAATCGTCCATATCTCACGACCGGAAGTGAGGACATACTTATGAAAAATTTCCGACAAGGTTCAGATAAATATCTATCAGATCTGAAAGTTTGGTGAGAATCGGTCCAGCCGTTTCCGAGAAATCGCGTGCACAAAATCGGTAAGAAAAAAAAATAATAATAATAGGGAAAAGAAACCGAACGAAAACAATAAGGTCTTCCGTTGGAGACGGAAGACCTTAATAATAATAATAATAAGAAACAGAGTAAAAACAATATGTTCCCCAACTTCGTTTGGGGAACATAAAAATATTATAAGGGGGTCAGACAAGACTAGAAAAACTTCTAAAAAACACAAAAGTCTTTGGTATCATATTATGCAATCTGACCCCTAAAATTAGATAAAGCATAAAGCAGGCACTGATATGCCTGTAATCAAAAAAAAAAAAAAAAGGGTGGGATAAAAGAAAATAAACGCCACAATCCAATTGCAAATTGGATCCTATTAATGACCAGACGCGATTATGGTATGCCAAGATAATAGCTATATCGACGTATAGACATATAGCCAAATTAAAGATTCCCCCTTAACTCTGTGATAAATTTAAGACTGTTGCTTTCTTATAGTTTCATCAGATATAAAAATTGATTTTATATGCTTATTCAAAAAAAAAAAAGGATGAGAACAGTGAAAAATTTAAAAATTATGCAAATTATCCAAATTAATGAATATCTCTAAATTCAGGCATAAAATATGAACCCCTTTAAGAAGTGGGGTCCGCTCTCTTTGAGGAGAAAGCACTCCTTGTTGACCTGTCAAATTTTGTCTAGTCAAATGCTCTATTATTTCAGAAGTATGGCATACATTACACTTATGAGAATTCGTACTAAACGACAATGCAGTTTATCTTTTAATGAATTGACCCGACTGTGAAACAATGGTTATTTGTGATTTTTTTTAGGAAACTATGTTTTCTTGTTTGTTTTGTTTGTTTTCTTTCTGTTAGACAGGTTTTAAACTGGAACATCACAGTTAACCGCTTTTCGTGCAAGAATCTTACACCCTGGAATAAACCTAGATCTCATTTTAATAGAGAATAAAAACAAGCTATAAGTACATATTTGAGGAAATGACCTTGTTTTTTAATTGCATAACGTTAAGAAAATTAAATATCCTGTCATAAAAAAATAAAAATCACATCAATCTTCCATAAAAAGTTATTGTATAACATTTACGCATGTGTCCATTCTACCGGATCATTGGAAGTCAAGTAGTTTATTAAATCGGAAATTACATTTTAAAAGTCGATGACAATACTAAAAGTGTACGTTTGTAAAATATTTACAGCTGGATGATAATGTTTCAACTGATGTGTCATTTTCCCCCTTGATCAGTACATATCAGCAGAACCTCTTACGAATGAAGATATCCATGACTTATGAAGTAAAATTTTGATGAAGCGATTTATTTGGTGCAAAGTCAATTATACGAATGCTTAAAAACAACTAAACTATTTATGTGTGAAAGAGTACAGTTATACAAAAAGACAACGTAATATTATTTAAAATGAAACGTCGGTCGTGGCATTTCCTTTATTATACCTGTCAATTCATCATGTCCTTTGGGAACTGATACTACTTTTTGGATAAAAATACATCATGTAAGACGGTTTCTCAAAACGTCCGCGTAATATACATGTACCGATCTTAGATATTACTCTTCGTCTATAGGTAAAGCTAGCAATAACACTTTATCATATATAAAATATATTTTTTTTATGATGTTATTTAATTTTCATATCAACGCGTTTTGTATCCACAGAGCACGCTTAACAACACTCTTACGTCAAAAAACCTGATACAATCATGAGATTCTCAAAGTAATCTCTTTTTACATTGCACACAAATTTGTTTTATACCAGTGTATGCATTAAAAAATGTATGTATCAGTTATTGAACTCTTATTTTATTGACAATTTGTTCCTGTAGCATCGCTGCTTAAGATCAGCAACAATGCTGTGAGGCGATTAACTCTCAGTGTTACAGATGTTTCTCAAAAATTATCATTATTTTAGTTTGTACATAGTCTTTATCATTCAATTACCGTTTGTACCATTTTCAAATCATTTGGCGCCCTACTCGATTTTGATATCGTTGTGACTTAACCAGCAACTTCAGAGTTTTTCTTTGTAACAAAACTCCGTGGCATCAGCTCTTTTAATTTTGAATTGAAGACTAAGTATCTTTTAAACTGATTTCTTTTCAACGAAGCAAAATATGAAGACATAATTTCGGATATAAAACCTACTAAAGTTTCTTAATTTAATTGAGTTGGATTTTTTTCAAATCTGTTTTTGCCATTTAATGGAAGATATGAATTCAGAATTATTTGGTGTCTTGATTGTAAATTAGGAAATGTTGTCCTTCTCTATGATCCAATCATTGCATTTTCAAATCTTAAGAAATCTAAATAAGTTTTAAATAATAAAACCAACATATCTTAAATATTTCAAATACATGCTACTAAAATTCATAAAAAATTGAAAAAAAATTTGCTAACAAGTAAAATCAAGATATAGCAGTAACTAGAGATGAGGATATTTTGTACTGGACGACAAGGACTGTCAGAGACGAGGCTACGAGGCTTAGTTTCAATCTTAAAAAAAGTCTAATTTCAATACAAATCTGCAAAGAGAACAAACAACACTGAAGCCTGTAAATTATAGAGGTAAGATCAGTTGTGAATTAAAGTAAAATACCCCCTGTTGATCATTCTTAGTTTCTGCAATTTTTGTGTAGTTATAAGAAAGACGGATCATACAGTTATCAAATTCAATATAAAATATGTTTTTTCAATTGGTATGAAAAAGGCCAAATACATTTTAAGTTATACATATAATTACTAACAAAGTCATTTTAACACCCAAATAATTCGGGAAATGTACGTAATACAGAATTTAAATTATGATATATTCCTTCAGATACAATCTGAAAGTACATGTAAACGCTGTGAGTTTTCGAATTAATTTATCATCTTGAGTGATCACAACTTTCACCAACTAAACAGGTAATGTAAACAATCAATTGCGAAAAATCTTTAAATAGTCAGTACGTACTTGTTTCCCGTCAGAATTAATGGATTTTCAATCTAACACTTGTCTAATGATATTTTTGAGTTAATGATTTAATTTAATTAAGAAAATGTTTTATTAATGAAATTTCTGACGTACTGTTTCTAAAAATTCATAAATAGAAAAAAATAATAAACCACGAAGAGTAAAAAAAAATCGTGCAGTATAAGCTGAAGCTCCCTCAAGAGATAAACACGGCTCAAAAATCAAAGAATTCTAAGGATGTGAATATTCTCATACCAAAACAATTATTGCTTATAACTTTTAGAAAATTACTGTATCAAACATGAGTCATAGTTTCGTCTGAAACAGAAGGACAAGGTATTATGTGAAATTTTCCTTCCCTTTTTTAATACCTGTTGCTATTGTAATATGACATGACCTTTTGGTCAAGACTCGGACCTTTGAGGTATGACAACAGCGATAATATATCTTCATGTGACATCAGGATTACACTTTTACTGAAGTTTGATTAAATATAAAAACAGCAATATTTCTTCTGTCAAAAGACCTTTATTTTTTTCTGGTCATCAGGAACATATCAACTAATGCTCCAATATTATTAATAACCAGACGCGATTATGGTATGCCAAGACAACAGCTATATTGACGTATAGACATATAGCCAAATTAAAGATTCCCCCTTAAATCTGTGATAAAATTAAGACTGTTGCTTTCTTATAGTTTCATCAGATATAAACAAATATTTTTTTTATCCTTATTTAAAAAAGGATGAAAACATTGAAAAATTTACAATTTTTGTAAATTATCCAAATTAATGAATATGTCTAAATTCAGGCATGAAATATGAACCCTTTTACGAAATGGGGTCCGCTCTCTTTGAGGAGAAAGCACTCCTTGTTGACCTGTCAAATTTTGTATAATCATAATTATGCTCTATTATTTCAGAAGTATGGCATACACTACACTTATAAGAATTCGTACTAAACGACAATGCAATTTATCTTTTAATGAATTGGCCCGACTGTGAAACTTGTGATTTGTGATTTTTTTGGAAACTAAATTTTCTTGTTGGTTTTGTTTGTTTTCTTTCTGTTAGACAGGTTTTAAACTGGAACATCACAGTTAACAGCCTTTTCGTGCAAGAATTTTACACCCTTGAAATAAACCTAGATCTCATTTTAATAGAATGAGAATAAAAACAACTCTGAAGTACATGTCTAAAGAATGGACCTTGTTTTTTAATTGCATAACGTGAAGAAAATTACATATCCTGTCATAAAAAAATAAAAATCACATCAACCTTCCATAAAAAGTTATTGTATAACATTTACGCATGTGTCCATTCTACCGGATCATTGGAAGTCAAGTAGTTCATTAAATCGGAAATTACATTTTAAAAGTCGATGACAATACTTAAAAAGTACGTTTGTAAAATATTAACAGCTGGATGATAATGTTTCAACTGATGTGTCATTTTCCCCCTTTATTCATATTTTGTAGCGATAAATAAGATGGAAATTGAAGATAAATATCATCATGCAAAATCAAGCATGACGAAATTATAAAACTGAATGACGCCATCAGAGGCATGTTACCTATAACACAAATAATGTTTATTGACTGACATCGGTTAAAATGGTTCAAATACTGGTTGGAGCTTCATTGGTTAACTGCAGATAAGATTGAGAAAATTCACCCTTTTTCCAGTAAGTAACAAGAAACGCGTCATTATGAATTGGTATATTTTAAAACTTTCTGTACGTATAAGTACTTTCCGGAGAAAGTTTAAACAATGGATTATAATTGTAGGTTTACATTGTATTATATATGTAGATTCGATTGCACCATGTATTAATATAATTATTTTAAAAAAGTTGAATCAGTTATAGAAAGAAATTATGGATGGGTCAATTTAAAAAAAAATGTCCCAAGTATTAACTCTTTGCAACTAACTGAACTGTTATGCAATATACACTTAATGTTCACGTCATAGAAATAGGACGGTATAATTTCCGTGCAAGCACTTGCTAGCGCAGTACAAGTTTCTCTAAAGTTTAGCGTTAATTAAATTATGGTATTTTAATAAGATTTTTTTTTTCCTTAATTTTTGAGATTGTAGCAAGTATAAAATAGAAAGAAATTGGCATTAGATTAAAGAGTAAATGTACTTTTCAAAGTACTTAAAAATGTGTGATTGCGGGGAAACGGTATATGCCTGATTTTGCGTTAAAATAGGAAATGGTATATGCGTTAAAATTTGTGTCTGAGAGGAAGGGGGTTAATATTGCTAATATAATAATGTAAAAAAAAAAAAACTAAATATAGAACAAAATAAATTATGGATGATTCATTTTAAAAACAGATCAGACCCCGAGGTTATAAAAAGTTTTGGAGTTCAAATTCGTACTCAAACTCAAACTCCGTACTCCAAATTCATACTCGTACTCCAAAGCTGAAGTTATAAAAGAGTATTATACTCAAACTCCAACGGAGTACAAACTGAAGATTTGTCAAGTACGTTCCAAACCAGCTTCAGAGTCAATCTAAAGTGTCGTTTATTGGGTCCGTTCACCCTATCTTCCGGTTGGCATGATCTGTATATGTAGGGTCCATTCACCATAATTCTTGTTCGCCATACCGATATCCCCATCATAAATATTTTATGTCTTCATTATCATTGGATATTAATACTTTCTTATTTTTTTTATTTAAAAATGATCTAATATGTAAGTTTAACTTGTTTGGAACTTTAAATTAGTGCATAACGAACCCGCGTAATCAAAATTATGAAAAATTGAAAATGCTGCAATTCCGTCAAAAACCAATGAAGTGGAATGAAATTCAAAACTGATTTTTAACTTATCAAGATAGACTCACATATAAAAAGTCAGGACAATTTCTGCAAGCGTTTAGTAAAATGCGGAAAAACAAGTAGGACAGACTGACAGACAGACGGAAGGACAGCTAGACGGATGGACAGCTGGACGGAGAGACAGACCGGGTCTCATCTAAACGACCGGTCTCCACGTCCCACAGTGGGATTTGAATCTGCGACGTTAGAATCAACTCCTTACTTCGCGACTCTAGAGCCCGAGTTGATCCTTACCTCGCAGGTTCGAATGAAATATGCATGAAATTTTTTTTTTTTGGAAACTCCTGTTTAGATTGTTTCTTTCCTTTTTTGGAATGACAGAACAAAGCAGGACTTTATTTACATCTGCAGACGTACATAAATTGCCCTTATGAGGCATATACAGGGTACTAGCACGTTCGTTTCCCCTCATCTTGATATTTATGAATACATATTTCATACCTCCAAAAGCTGAAGATTTCTTTTTCCAGAATTTGAGTTCGTGCCCCAAATTCGTTGAGATTGACTCGGTGAAGAACGTACTCTAAATTTTCATGGTGAATTCCTTGTACGTGCATCAGTGAAATTCATCACATTAATTATAAGTAATAGGATGTTTACTCTCTTAAGATTTAAACAGAATTCTTGTTATCTGGTATTACGGTATCGATTTCAACTTGTTATTTATTTTCTGGTTAATACACTGCACCCAATGTAACACTCACATAACTGAGAAATACGCAAAAACGGGGGGGGGTGCCTATCTCACTACAATCGACTTAAAAAAACAAAAATTTCTTTTTTACAGATTGGCTATATGAGCAGACCTTTACCGCATCCGACTTTAAACTCGGATTGATATATGAAATTAATGAAAACTGAAAGAAAAAAAATTAAACTACATGTTGAGCGGCTTATTTTTTAACGCTTCCGACTTTAATTAAAGTCAGAGAGAATAGTATAAAATTAAAAATTTTAGAATTGAAAAATTAATAAGTGGAAAATTTCCGCATGTATTTCACATGCATATAACATATCACATAACGTTACAAGGAGAATAATACATGGTCAAATCTGTATTACATCCTGTATCTAGACGAGACTCCCAATAATAAAATTCTAAGATAGTGTACATAAATATTTACAAAAGCATAATACAGGGCGAACGAGAATGGAAGCGAGCGGACTTTGCGCGAACGGATTGATAGGGTGGACATAGACCCGATAGGAAGGAAAGTTAAGTTTTCGATGTGGCCGTACGTACAAACAAAGCTAAAATATGCCCTATGTATTTACTTTTATATCTTCTTTTTAATGACATGAATTTTATTTTGTTTGTAGGGTGTGGCCAGGGTAAAAATTGCTTTATAATGTCATTGACTCAATCTCTTCATAGTGTATAATTTCCTGGTTAAAATATCTAAAATTCCCGCAACAAATTACAAGAAATCCCCATCCCTCTATAATGAATTGATTTGAAAAAAAAAAACTGCATTTCCATGCTTCCATTGTTGAAGGTTTGTTTGAGAAGATAATAATTTTAAAAAAGTATTATGGCTATATATGGCGATCTTTTAATTAGTATTGCCCACTCTGATGAAAATACTAGGCCGTTCTGTAGGCATAATTTTTTAAAAATATTAAGCATCAAATGTGATTTTTCAAAATTCCTTTTCTGAAATGCATAGAAATAAAATGTTTCCTTGGGATTATAAATTAACAATGAGTTTGTCGATTTGAATCATTTACTTAGGGAGGGCACACATTTAATTCAATATGGCCGACGAATTATATAATTTCTTGGTGTTTTTTTTTTATTTTTCATTAGCACTTAATCGCCTTTTCTTATAAACTTGTAAATCGAAAGGAATGCAAAGGATGACTGTCAAAAATTTATAAACGTACACAAAACAATGTTCCTATATTAGTACTTAAATAGGGGTTGGTTAGTTAGAAAATAGAATACATTTAAACAAATTGTGTATCACATTTACAATGAATTTCAGGCAGAATGTATTTCTTTATTATCGTATATTTCTATTTCAGAGTGATAAATGGCAGATCCAACATTTCTCTGGGTGACACTTTCAGGATTATATCCTTTAACTCTCCTGATCGGACTTTACGGAAACATTTCGGGCCTAGTCGTGCTTTTCCGTCAGCGGAAGAGAACGGGCAGTCTGATTCTTTTACAGAGTATTTGTGTGGCGAACCTTTTATCCGTTGTCTTGGTTTCTTGGTTGACTCTTAGACTGAATCTGAAACTGTATGGTTTTGAATCACTAATCACAGAAAACAGCCATTGGCAGATGAAGTTTTATGCCTTTATCGGAAATATTCCGATATCCTGGATTGCTTTCACTACAGCTTTGATTGCAATCGAACGAGCATGCGTAATGACGATGCCAATGAAGTTTCACAGTTCTTGGACAATCCGCAAAATGTATGTTGCAGTATTCCTAATTTACTTTATTGGACTGGCAGTGCCAATACCTAAAATTTTCGACCTGGATAAAAAATCTGTGACATTAATAGACACACTTATAACAAGGATTGTTCCCATTGTCGTCGTTATCATCGGATTTATGGTTACCATGATCGCATTTAGTCTCCATTCCAAGGACAAATTAGTACGACAACTTAGTGACAGCAGTCCAAGTAATTTCGTGAAACGCAAGGTTAACCAACGAAACAGGCTCACTAAAACGCTTGTAATCCTGATGGTTGCCTTCCTCTTTTGTGTTGTTCCAAAAACAGCGTTCACCTTGATCGTAGTCTTTGGCGAATTTAAGGTTCTCTCATTTTTGTTTATCCCCGAAACGGAAATGGACATCACAATGGTGATGATTATGTACCTGGAAGTACTCCACTGCTGCATTAACGCTTTTATGTACATCCTCTCGTATCGAGATTTCAAACGAGAGTTTGTGAACGTCATGCGTTGCAATTGTCAGAGACCGACCCGGAAGTACGATAGCAGGATGTCAGAAAGACGTACGGTGTCTGAACAAAGATCCTTTGATTCAACGATTTCTTTTTCCGAAGAAAACTCTTCGACGGATAGCATAAAAAAAGAAAATACATTCAGGATCGGATCACCTTGTTAGAAACAAATTCAGCTGAAGTTTTGGCAAGGTTCTGCATCAACAATTCTAAATCCTCTTCTTTGTTGCTGTAAATAGTCTGAATATTATAAAGGTTGCGGAATAAATATTTTACAGGAGTTTAATTTTTATTTGTATACAAATAGAAATACAAATAAATGTATAAACAGTACATAGAAAAAGCCCATATCTTTGTTTAAATTTGCATATCAATCACATTTATTTAAAAAAAATAGGAGGTATGGGCTGTCTTGAACAAGTGAACAAGCTAATTCAGAGAATTCGTGTCCCCCGCTTAGGGAAAAAGTCGGATCCCCCTGACTGAATTTGTAGAATTATTAAATGAATACATGTATACTCAAGCAAATAAAATACATGATTGTCAATATGCGTATAAAGATTTGATACCTTATTCTTTATTATGTGTATAGAAGATTCTTTTTATATGGAATATTTATCACACTGTAATGATGATTTTATAACCTCATAAATTTTTCTTTTCACATACTGAATACTATCATTTAAAAAAAGAAAGAAAAGTTAAAAAAAAAAAAAAGGCTCGTCCGAGATTCGATCCCGGGACCTCTCACACATGGAGCGGGAGACATACCACTAGACCACGGAGTCGCTTATAACGTAGTTAAGTATATGCAGAAGTGAAGTCACATACATGTTTATATTCATGTTCGGTATTGTCAAAATTTTACACAATCCATGGTGTTTGATTTTTTTTAGCCTTTATCAAACAGTTCTAATAGATGTAATTAAGAACATAAAGTCCGCCGAGAACCTGTTTTATACGCAATAACTCTCCGCATGCCCCTGTGCTAAAAATAGCGACATGTAATACTATAAATACTAAAACAAACGGGGCGGGGCACTTTGAGAGGGGTGAGAGAGGTCCTAGGGAGTTTTGGTATAAAATTACATTGCATAAGTTCAAAATCTTATTGAAATATCGCCCGGAAATGATAGAGTTACACACAGACACAATATATAAATTTACTACCTTGAACTTTGACCTTTTGACCTCAAAATCAATAGGGGTCTTCCTTAGGCCTCAGGGAGTTGTTATGTAAAATTTCATTGCAATAGCTCAAATGGTTCTAGAGATATCGTGTGGAAACGAAAGTGTTATAACACACAGAATTTGCTTATTTATGACCTTGACCTTTGACCTTTTGACCTCAAAATCAATAGGGGTCTTCTTTTGTCCATAGGGAGTTGCTATGCCAAATTTCATTGCAAAAGCTCAAAGGGTTCTCGAGATATCGTGTGGAAACGAAAGCGTTACAGACAGACAGAAAGACGGACGGACGGACGGACAAACCCAAATTAATATCCCCCACTTTTCAAGCGGGGGACAAAAAGTAATAAGAAATAGATTTGTTACAACGTATGGCGAATCTCAAAACGTATATAAATATTTCTCTTAACATTTGTTCTAGAAATTATGTCACCGTGTCTTATGCCTTCCTATATCTTAAGATTTATTTTACAGGCATTCATTGATCACTCGTTTTTATGATAAACATCCTTCTATTATTGATTTTTTTTTTTGCTGAAAACAGAAACAAAAATCAGACCGTTAACTGCGAAAAAGATTTTATCAACGATTTAGCGGTATGTTTAAAAAAATTATGTATGTAACTCAAATACTTTCAATGCTAGATTGTTGTAGTTTGAGTAGTATACATTATGTATGGGTCGCCAAATTTCATTCAAATGAGTTTTTAATACAGAACATACCGCAGTTATTACACCAATTTCATCATTTGTAAACTATGACGTATGACTGAGGATGACACAGCACACATAAATATAAATTAGAAAATGTGGAGTTTTGGTTATTAAAAAGGTTTCAGTTTACGTCTTACTCAAGAAAAAGTATAAACCATGAAAATAAATAATGAAACATATTAATAAATATCTACAAATCCAGATACATGTAATATTTCTTTTTTATCTTGATAGTTTTCTAAACCTTAAAAATTATTACTTATATAAACAAGCTACAATATTTATTTGTTTATATAAGCCTCACATTCGTTGATCAATTAGTTAAAGCTCCAACTTCTTTGTTGAACTTTTCAGATTAAACGCATTTTAGATCTTTTGAACCAGACAAAATCATCTTCTTTAATTTTAAACATTTATGAGCACATTAATACCATCTGATTGGAAAAAACACAATGGTTATATGTTTGGGGATGATGCATAAAAGTCGTTCAATAAGTCGGGCATATTTAACGTGTTTCAGTTGAAGAAATATGTCTGCCGGGCATGAACACTTTATTTTGCTGTCACTTTATCTAGTCATTTAAGTTCATACTGTAAAAAAATTGAGTTAAATCCACTTCAAAACCTAGATAACATTAAGATACTTAACTAATTTTAGCAAAATATGATTTGTAAACATTTCATAAATAGGAAATATATTCCAGCTCTTCCTCTGTTATTTTTAAAGTAAGAAGATCTTGAAATTTTAAGGACTGTTTTTTAACATCGATAAACATTTTATTTTTTCAAATGAAAAAATACAAGTGTACTGTACATATGACAAAATGTACGAGGGTTATTAAGAAATACGTAGACTATGTTCCTCATCGTTATGTTATTATTACAATATTATAGATCAACACATTTACATAAAAAAATATATTTGGTTGAAGTGTGAAGTTTCATGCCATTTGATGAAATAGTATTAGTCAATTTTTAAAGCAACATGTTTTGTTACCACGGAGCACGGTTAGCCAACAATGTAGCGCCAAAAGCTATGGCGAGAAAGTTTCTCAAAATTACTCTGCTTTTTATTTTTTCTTTTTAATTTCATCCACGATTTGTAGCGTTTTTCTCTTCATAAAAACATATATCCTTCACTTAACACGTATATAATATTCCAATTCTTAATTCAAATTATTCGAATTTGTTGTTAAAATATGTTTATACCAAATTTGGATATAATATGACGTTAAATAAAAAGAGTTAGAACAAAAGTCTACGAACTTTTTGAGTGACCCTCGTATAATAAATAAATAACAAATAAACATGTCTATTTCGTGGGTTGAAAATTCTCTTAAATTATGAAATCGTTTAATAAAATAACACATTAAATAAATCCGGGATCGCAATTTCTATAAACTAATGAAACAAGACCGAGGAAGGGAAACTCGCTGTTATAAAATTGACCCTGAATTTCCTGTACTTTAATTCATGTTTACAATAAAAGCATGCCATTAAGAAGCTTTCATGTCAATTCTTATTATAAAAAAAATGTAAAGTACATTGCACCTTTCGTTGATGGTCTTCTTTGACATCGTTTAGTATCCAAAAACACTAACGATTGATAAACGTTTTGGTTCATTCATTCAAAGAATAATGTCAGACAAGTAGATTTTATTTTTATGAAAAAAAAAATATTTCAGTGGCGGATCCAGACGTTTTCTGTAAAATCAAAACTTAATTTTTACAGAATATAAATATTCTGTGTACAATTACATGTGTATAACACACGTTTAGCTTGTAGAAGATCCCCAACTCCCCCTTCCTCCTATATAGATATGGTAAAATATCAATATGCTAATTTCTTAACGTCCTAGGCTAATACAAAAATTTTATTGATTTTTCCCCCAAATAAATAGAGCGTGATTCACTAAAAAAAGTCAAGCAACTTAATCAGAACAGACTGCTATCTGTGAAACCGGGGAAGTATATCAAATTTATTTTTTTTGTTTTATAAACATACAAAAGAGCATAAAATAAGCACATAGATAAGTTTTTCTTCCAAAAGACATATTTATCTTTATATATGTAACTATTTATCTTGTAAAGGGCTGAAAAAGTAAAAAAAAAAAAAAAAAAAAACCTATACTTTTATTTGTATAGAAACCATGTGATTATTGTACCGAGCATTGCATATCATTTTATTTTCTAATAAAACAATCATCCAGCCTGCAAAGGAGAGCAGAAACACCACAGCTTGCTTGTAGAGGGCTGGAAATGTTAAAAAAGAGGAGTCCATACAATTATTGTACAAACCATTAAATTTCATTCATTTTTCTCTAATAAAACACATACAAATTTCCAGCCTGCAAAAGAAAGCAGACAACATTAAACATTTTTGTATATATATACACGTCGTCAATCCGCTTATTTTTTCTGGACAACAACCGTAAAAGGAAGAAATAAAAACTGAAAAATTGAATAATTTTGTTTCTTTTTCATGAAATTTAACTGCAAATAGTTAATTATGATAATGAATGAAGCATTAAGTTTGACAAAAAACCTCTAATTTGTCGAAAACAATTAGTCTACTAGTTTTATCCGTCATTTTTTAAACCGTGAAAAAAAAACTTATCAAAAATGAAACGAAAGAAAAGACAAAAATAAGATATTTTTTACCCTAAAATTATAAATAAAATTCTCTAAAATTTTAAAAACTAAATTGTACATGTAAACACAATTTTCAGAAATACTCTGAATAATCAATCAAATGAAAACCGAAAATTGAATAGGACGACCCTGAGTTTCGAACCGTGGAATAATGCATGCTAGGTCTATGTATAACTTAAAGACAAAGCAGTACACACATCAGAGAGTATTATTTCATAAAATAAATTTTGTAATGAATTTATAATCATATTCACATTGTACGAGGGTTGTCCCAGAAAACAATTTTTGTTTTTTCAAATAATATTTAACAAAAGTACAGTTGTACTAATTTTTGCATGCTGCTGGAAATTACCTTTTTGTTATCTTGACAAAATATTATAGCCCTGTGCTGTTTTATGCATATAGCATTTAAAAGATATATCAGTGGTTCGCGCACGTCTACATATATTATTGATAATGTAATTTTCTTAGATATCAGATTATAAGGGAATATAATAGAGAAGAATTAAACTACATAAATACTCTATAATGTGGGGTATTCGTGTTTAAAAATTCATTGATTTGACATCCTATATGAGAGATATACATGGATGACGATATGTGTCAAAGCACTTCAAATTACACATTGTCAGAAATGATGACGTTAGGCGGTTATGTGGAGCACCAAATTATTAAACAACACAATGTTGAGCAGGATTTGACTGCTGTAGATAGAGATTAAAGATGAAAACGATGAAAAAAAAACCACACAGACGTAAGTAATGGAAACATGTTTATCTCTAGCTGAAGGGGTTTGAGGTTTACTTGACTGGTTAACAAATAGAGGATTGATTGATTGTATGCTGTTAACGTCCATCTCGAGAATTTTTCACACAGATGGAGACGCTACCACTTGCCAGTGGAGAGCTGCACATTCTGTACTATACTTGGCACTAAGGGCCATTGAACAGGGATGGGTCTTTTTCGTTCCCGCACCTACTGAGACACGGGACCTCGGTTTATGCGGTTTCATCAAAAAGACCGGTCTCCACGTCCCTCAGTAGGATTTGAACTAGCAACGTAAGGATCAACTCCTTACTAGAGCACACGCTCTAATCACTGCGCCATCTGATAAGGCAGAATATACCACTAAAATGAAGATGAACTGAAAATACAGGAGCAGGACTTCATAAGCCTTGGTGAAGACTGCTTTTAAGCAATTCGATCAGTTATGTTTATGATTGTGATTGTGAAATTGTCTATTAAAAACTACCGCGTACGCAATCTTTTAGTAATGCTAGTTTTAGATGTAACAATTTTGTAACTAAAAGAAAATTAAATACAATCAGAATTAATATTAAATGAATCTTATTATAGGCACAGTTTTGATAACAAATTCACAAACACTACGATCTTCATTCTGACGAAGTCAGTGTTGCACCGACAGCTGATTTGTTAGATTTATTTACCTGAAAGGAAAATGTTAAAATATATTTCATTGATGTTTTTAGGCATTATTCAAACAAAATGTTAATCATGATGTATGCCAAATTTTAACTGTAGAGTCTTAGTGAAACCTAAGATATAAAAGTGTTTGTTTTTTTTCTGGGACAATCCTCGTATTTATAGGTATAAAATCAGAGTTATTAATGATAAGGCTTTATATCTAACACCAAACTTTTCATTAGAGAAATGTTAAAAAAGCACATGTAGCACACAACGATTTTTCAAGAACTTTATTCTAAATTTTAAATGCATAATAGTGAAATAGCGTTGTTGATTATAGAAAACTCGAGCCACGTTTGTTTCAATTGTTCATTGATTAGTTTGAAACTCCGTACTTGTGATGTACATCACTCATTTTTATGATCAATAAGCTTGACTTGTATGAATCATGTATGGGTCACCAAATTTCATTCAAACGAGTTTTTATAAATTATATACAACAGTTTTTAGCACCAATTTCACCACTTGTAAACAATGAAGTATTAATTAGAACGAAACTGCACACATAAGACAAATCAATTAATGCATGTGACGGAAAGACAGTACAGCAAAGATTTCTCAAATGTAAACCATACTTATATAAATAATTATTTGCAAAACATGTTTTTCAGATAAAAAGAGTCCCACACTACTGCATACGATTTTCAATGTTCATAGTTAAAAAAAAGGAAACAAGATTTAACTAAAAAAAATCGCCCTTTCCCTCTAAAAGTTCATAACTGTTTTGATATGCTTTGTTTGCTCTGTTCAGCCACCAAACAGAAACAAATATTGCTTAGCTTTGAGAAATATGTAAATCTATTTAGCAATATACCCTTATCGCTTTGATACGGGAATTTTATACCTCAGCTGATTTGATACGCAAGGGCATGTTCAATGTATAAATAAAAAGAGATTAGTTATTGACCAATATGTTTATGAAACTAGAATAACAACAGTATCATTGAGCGCAAACATTTTGTAAGTTCTATTATCAATAATATGCCACTGACAGCAAATCAGTCTATTAATGCTGACTGGCGTTTCATCGTTAGGCCATTTTGTCTTTCGATTTTGCCGTTGTTTCGCGATTTTGACAAGGAGCACTCCTCTATGAAAAGGAATATAAATAAAACTAGAAAATAACGATAACTGGTAAATAAAAACGTCTCATTTTTAGTGTTACTCAAGGACTAACAGAAATCAGTAATATAATGAATGAAACATCTTAAAAATTATCCAACATATGTAATATTTAAACATTATATATATGGTTTTTAACTTGAAAAATATTTTAAACTTAAAAACGTATTGGTTATGTAAACTTATTTCAATATATATTATGTTTATATAATTTTATCTTTAATTGATAAATTAGTTAAAGCCCCGACTAATGTACTCTTTCTTGGGCTCTCTACATAAAACACAATTTATGGGTTTTTAAACCAGACAAAATAATCTTCTTTAATTATCTTATACATTTAGAAGCATATTAAAGCCGTCTGATTGGAATAAACACAATGGTTACTTATTTGGTAATGATGCATGAAAGCGTTTTAATAAAAAGGGCTCATTTAACTAGTTAAAGTTTTAAACTATAAAATTATACCTACTAAAATGACATATATACTTTTTTTAAATATTTATTGATTTATAAAAGAAACTGAAATATTGAACCACGTGGATTAAAAAAAAAATGTACTGAATTATTAAAAAGGAATCTTTAATTCATTAAAATTATATAACCTAATCCGAGAAATGGAATAGGTAACAGAGATTACTGCACATGCATGATGATTTTTAATTTCAATTTTGTGTATACACGTACATATCGCTGTTTAATTTTACTTTAATGTTTTCATTCATATATTATGAGTTGCTTTGGTGCTATTCTTTTCTTAGAAGGTGTTGTAATTTTCAGTTTTATATGGATGATCATTTCAGTCATTAAGTGTGTTTCTGAAATTCCTATAGAAAATATATGTAAAAAATAAATGGGAAACTTTTTTTGATAATTTTAGTGTAAAAGATGTCTTACAAATTGAAAGTGGGGGGGGGGGGATCCGCCGCACATTTAAACATAAACATTATAATTGTTATAGAATTTTTCGTGATGCATGGTCGACTTTTCCCAAAAAGAGTTTTAAGCATTTATTGGAACATTTTTGACCAGGAGTGAACGATACATTTTTTATCAAGACATGCATAATTAACATGCTTTGCCAAACATACGCACCATTTATACAGACCTGCAAAAATAGAATATGAGGAAGCCTACAAAAGAGTGCAGGCAACATAAAACTATTGGGATCTTTGATGATGCAGGTCAGTGTTTATAGACAGTGAAGACTGCGATCAGGTATTTTAATAAAATAAGTTTTGACTTTCGGCAATGTCTTAAGATTTCTTTCACCGGAAATAAGCTGAGAAACAGAAATAAACATTGACAATCCGCGTATTTTTTTATGGACAACAACCGAAAAAAGGGACGAAATAAACCTGAAAAAATAATCAGAAAAAATAAAGTAATTTTTACCAATAATGATGGAATAATATCGACAATTCAGCTCTCCCTTAAAAAAAAATAAAGGTTGAAAAGCACAATCAAATTCTTCTTATCTTTGTTAGGGTTTCCAACTTTATTTTGAAAGACTTATTAAATTCATTTTTTCCGTTCATTATTTTTTTCTTCTGTTTATTTTTTGTTTCAAGCTTTATGAAAGAGATGCTTTGTTCATTGTAATGGTCAAGAAAAATATGAAGAAATTTGACACAATGACTATGAATTATGACTCTTTCTTGAGCTCCTTTCGTGCAAAAATAACGTCGCTATCTGTAAATTTTTACCAATACCTTCTACTTACCTAGAATACTTTTCAATCTATTAATTGTAAATGAATTCTCAGACCCTTTTAATGTAAGTAAATGAAGTTCATGAATAATGAAAAAAAAGCGATAAGTAATAGGGTAAGCGATAAACTACCATACGTTCTTCAAACTCTGACCATGTCTTTATATACTTTCGGTATAAAATATATTTTTGCACATCTAATATGTCTTTTGTATAGTATTTTTGAGAAAGATTGTCCGTAAAATTAACCTATTCAAAAGTTATTCACTTTTAGCTTTGCTATCGTTACTTTTAGAAACCATAAACATTAGAACCAGAAAGAAAAAAAATCAGTTATTTCCTTTGTTCCTAAAGTAAAAAGTTCATCTATTCATTGCGAATGCTTCCATAACCCCTTAATCTAGACATTGCCTTTTTATACCTTTGCGCTTACCTTTAAAGCCAGACATTTGAAATGAAAAATGAAAACCTCTTATTGGTCAAGAACAATTAGTCTACTGGTACTTATGTTATCCGTCATTTTTAAACTTGCAAGATTTTCATGGAAAAAATATGAGAATTAAACGAATGAAAAGAAACAAGTAAGACATCTTTTAAAATAAAATTATCAAAAAAAGTTTCTCATTTATTTTTTACCAATATTTTCTATAGGAATTTCAGAAACACACTTAATTACTGAAATGATCATACATGTAAAATTGAAAATTGATCTGGACTTAGAAGTACACAACTGAGACTGAGAGAGTTGACTTTCATAAAATGTATCTTGTAATGAATATTTCATTATATTTCCATTGCATTGATTGGTCTACAGTCAGTTATTAATGATAAGGCGTATTTCTTTAATATCAAACATTTCATGATAGAAATGTTGAAAAGTATCATTAAGAACACAAATCAAATATTTCAGGAAGTTTATTTCGACTTTAAATTGTATTGTGATTGTGACAAAGCAATGCTAAATTAAAAAAATTATTCGTTTCAATTGTTAATTAGTTAGGCTGAAACTCCGTGAATATGATCCCATTATGTGCACATCAACTTTAAGATTAAAGACACCACGGCCTTTTATCGAATGCTTTGTTATCTAACTGATTATCTTTGTTTTGTGGAGCAATTTCGATAACTCTAATCACAACTTGGTCCTTGAATATTTGTAAACTCAGTCTTTGTTCATCTCTCTCAATAATTTTCTATAATTTTGCAGTCTTTCCCTGATTGATTTCACACTATCAATTCCTCGAATCATATCTGCGGCTTTTTCTGCAATCATGATCGTTGGAGCGTTTGTATTTCCGGAAGTAACATGGCGCATGACGGAAGCGTCGACTACCCTTAGGTTGCTTACTCCCTTTACTCTGTAAGTATTAAAAAGTTTTTTTTTTAAGACTGCAAATATATTGGTCTTGACTCTCAATTTTTAGCCTTCGAAAAAACTGAATTCTTAAAAAATCTCAGACCTTAGTTGTGGATCCACAACCGCTGTTTTATCGTTATCTGCTCCCATTCTACAAGTGGAGGTTGTGTCATACATAGGTAAAAAGTTGAGCGCCAGTCTGCATCTCCAGTAATCGTCTGATTCGTACGGAAAACGTTTACAGAAAAGGAAATAGTTTTCATCATAAGGGTCTAATGGTGATGCTCCAATGGACCTAAATGCTGTTGTATTGGCTAACTTTAAGAGCTGTTTTAATCCTACAATATTAAAATAACGTTTTGTTGAACCGTTCATGTGTGTTTGTGTGTGTTTTAGGGGGGATTAATGAATCATTATGCAAAAACACACAAAGATATTTCAGAAGCTGTAATAGGTTATTTGTACTAAGAATTAATGACAACAAAGTCTTAAAATTTACCTTTCAATAGCATTTTCATATCGTATGGATGATCTAAAAAATTGGGGTCTATACGGGGCGGATCAAACGGATCTCTACTCTGAAGTTGAATATTCCCTCTACTTTTAGGATGAAGGAGCATACATATTACCAGAAATGAGCCATGTGGATTGTTGCTACCACTCTGTTATAAAGTACAATTAACATGTCTTTATCAATGTAATACATATTTATATGAAAATTATAACTCAAGAATATTTTCAAAAAAAGAAAAAAAAATGCACAACAGTAATACAAGTATAATCTGGGTAATTAAGAAGTTAAAGGGACGATACGTTTTTTTTTCGTTGGTCATTTGTAAAATTATTTTTGTTAAAAATATTCTGTTACTTACACTGAAGTAAATAGTACGTTTATACGGGAAAGTCACCGATTTTAATCCTAATGCATTTCCGATTGCCAGAAGCAAAAAAAAAAAAAAAAAAAAAAACAGGTTGAAAGTCAAAATAAAAATTAAGATACTGTTAACCAACTTTTATTCGTGTGCGAGAAATTTTCGCGACGTTCGCGAGGGCTTCATCACGGCAAACAAGTCCTTAAAGACTCTGAGTCTACTAACAACAGATCAAAATAGGCTAGATCGCGAAGATTAATCGTCGCAAACTAGTTTACCCTCGGTAAATCAAGCAATAAAGTCGTCGTGAATAAAAGTTGGTTTACATTATTGAATTCAAAAAATAAATAAATAAATTAAAAAGAAATATCTGTGAGAAATGATTTCGGAGATTAAATTATTTCATCCCATTATTTTCAGATCTGTATTTTAATATGGAAAAAAGTAAAATAAAAAAAAATCAGAGTTCGTCAGAATAAAACCTGATCGTTTAAAGGAGAAGTTCCTGAAACACTGTAAAATGAGAGTTGCAAGTATGGAATCAAGTTGTCATCATCATTAAGAAAAGCATTCCCCTCCATGTGAGATTTGCTTAAAGGACCTACAAAAAAAAAAATGAAAAACCACAATAGAACTCTATTGAAAAACTCATCTCTGAAACAGTGTCAATGAAATTGGGAACAAAAGGACATTGAAATATACCTTCCTTTTATCAATATAAACCTCAGTAAAAAGAAACATTAACATTAAGTAAAAAAAAATCACATTTATTTTCTGAACAGATAATTATATAATTATCATTTTTTGCAACACCTTTCAGTGTAAACGAAACTGAATCAAACACGTACATGTACGTACATGTATTGTTACAGAATTTAAATGTCAACATGGGTAAGCGACCTTCGTCATTTTTCGCCTTTGGAAAGATTTGATGATCTAGATCTATAGGTATACTCAGAGCATGTTCCTCACCGTATATATGAAGTATAGCTAAAACGTTGGGATAGATTTAAATATAGTACTTTACTAATGGTAAAATACAGAGGGAGGAATCCTGTCATCACAGGCCTCGAACAGGACGTCCAAAAAAGAACTCCAAGTGGATACGCTGTTCATCGACAATATATCTGCACATCTCGGACAAGACAATGAGAAGCCGTTCCAATGCCGAAAAGCATTGTTTTAGGAGTCATTGAAGTCTCTTTCTCGATATACAGACAGCACCTGATATGAATTCAATGGATCCAAGGTTGTTTCTCTTAGAAATGCAGTTTTAATGATCGGCTCAGTGATGATAGAGCATGTGTATATCATCGTCCTAAAAATCTATGTAATGTTTCTGACTGACACACTAGCGTAAAACACTCGCTCCATGATCGGTTGTGAGTTTTGAGTTCCAAGTCGACCGAAGTCGATAAAAGTGAGGGCAGTTCTTCCTTCGCACCCTGAAGTGAAAGTTGCAGGTATTTTTGTGAGACATAAAAATCGGGACACCATTGGTACGACAAAGATCACTCACTGCTCAATGGCCATGAATGCCGAGTAAAGGTCAAGATGTGAAACCTTTCACCCAAAATGGTGGTCTCTATTTGAGTGGATTATTCTCGAAAGGAACATAAAACAACATACAATCAATCAATCAAGCTAAGGCGTCTGCTGCGACGAGATTTTACTATACCTTCTAAGACAAGAACTGAACTTAATGCAATAGATGAAACTGATAGAAACTAGTTCATTTTTAATTAGAATATGTTTTAACTAGGTGATATGAAATTTAGTCTAAGGTAAACTCACTCATAAACAGATCACTGGGATCTTTAATGCATTTTATAAATCAGCACTTTTTTGCGGTTCCAAGGTCTATAAATTATCACTTCCTTGCAGAACCCAGATTTATAAATCATAACTTTACAAAATCTTTACAAATTTGCAGATCCCAGGTCTATAAATCTTTATAAGTTTGCAGATCCCAAGTCTAAAAACCATTACAACACTTTTACACAGTTAAAATTTGTTAATAAAAATATTACCTGATTTTGATAAACCGTATTCAAAGAAAAATAAGGGTGAGTAGCTAGTCGCTGAACTTGTATTATCTCTAAACGACATATGAACATTAATGTGGTCCTCTAAGTTTTCTCCAACCGGCAGATCAGCAACCACTGGGATCTGTTAAAGGTGTATAAATATAAAATACATTGTTACTGTCTTGAAATATAAGCGATATTTGGGCGAAGGTAAGAAGACGTGATAGAGGGCGAGACTTGCTAAGCCCTCCATCACGTTTTCGCCTTGAGTCCACATATCGCTTATTTTCAAGACAGTGGCCATTTATGCTATTTATCGTGCAAAATATACTGAAAGGAAAAAGAAACGCATATTTTACTTTTAAATTGAATTAAAACTATTATTTTAAAAATGTTTTCCAGTATTGTTATCAAACATTTCAATTCATCTTTAATCTACAAGTTACCAAAATCTTGTGTGACTTTGACTGATAATTCCTGAGTTATTGAAATTGATATGTCGATACCCCCAAAATTAAAATAAAAATTCTCATAATCTCCCTTGCACATTGGTAACAGCCCTGATTTTCCCGTGCATTGAGTTCACCAGAGCATTTATCTTTTTCATTTGATTATTATTCAACCCTTCCGACAATAGTCTTAATGGTTGATAGTAGTTGTATTATTCCAAAGCCAACAAATCCCCCCGCCAAATGAGTGCCATGAATTTTCATTTTAGGACAGAATTCACAGAATCCAGCTGGTTTGGTACACGTGAATGTTTGTGAGAAAGTCTCGACAAATACTGACTACATTTTCCCAGTGTGAACATGCTAAAAACATTACGCACATGACGCGTAGGTGCTCGCGTGAGAGTAAAATCGACTTAAAAGTTGCCAAGCTCGCGGACCAAATTAGAGCAGAGAATTTCTGTAAATTTTAGGGTGAAAATATTGGTATGATAGTTTGCTGTATAAATATCGGTTTCAGTGATAATACCTTGACAATAACCGAGGTGTCATGATGAAAAGCCCTGTCTTGATGTGACGTTGTTACGCGTCAACGTCACCGCCATGGTTGGTTGGAAACCTTTTAATTTACTCTCTGACATCTGAAAAACCCTTTTTTGTTGACAAGTTTAAAACAAACTGCACAGCAACATCTTGTTGCCTTTTTATTCACTTACGCAATTCAATTACTGGAACCAGTGTAACTTCCGTCAGCCATACCATGATTACAAGAAAATTTATACTGATTGCAAATGCGGAAAACGATATCTATAACTCCAATGCATCGATTAGCACTACAAAACATGATCATAAAATTGTCATCATCAACATGCACGTGTTTTTGGCTTTTTATCATTTCCCCTACGTGATGCCATACATTTCAAGGTTGAGTAGTTTTGACCAGCAATTTTAGCACAAAGTAACAAAAATACATATATGACCAATTTTCATAATTTTCGGCCACATAGTCATTGATTTTTCGTATATTATGTTCTTATGCGTTTCTTTTTCCTTTCAGTATATATTTATATCAGACCTGCAAAATGAACTATTTTCAACCCGATTAAGACACATTTCTGCAGCGGAAACTAAGACGCTATAGCGTAAACATTTGCAATATACCGGTACGTGACGTCACAATGCTTTTAGAACGTCGGAATCATGCACGAGGCTTTATTAGGACATTGACCGAAGATAGAAAAAAAATACTGGAGATAATTCTTTTAATCAAGTACATATTGCCGAGGACCTTAATGCTATTGTCTGTAACACTATATTTAATTCTTTTATCTAATAAAAAAAAGTTTATATTCACCATAAAGTCTTTTCAACAGAGGAGACTTGAAATCAATTGTCTAAAATATTTTTTTCATGCAAAGCTTGCTTTAAATATGAGTTATAAAATTGTTTGCTATGTTTATGTGCTTAAACTTTGGCTTAAGATCTGTAAAAGTAGAAAACAATTCAGAAATCGGTTCACGGATTTCTTACCCCAATGACTCGAGATGGTCTTTTGGTCCGATGCCAGACAATATCAGAATTTTGGGTGAGTTTATTGACCCAGCAGAAATGATGACTTCTTTCTCTGCTTTTATATGGTATGTTTCATAGTTTTTCACCAATGTTATTCCCACCGCCTTCCTATTTTCGATTAATATCTGAATATAATATATTAGAAATTGTTTTGGTAACAAAGACATTTTCTCATCTTATGAGAATTATTTTGAATATTCGTCTTGTTTATGTTGATATCCATAGATTAAATGGCACTCAAGGAACGTTAATATATTGCTCCAGTTTCATTCATTTATGCATTCACTTAATACTGCTTTTGAAAAGAAATCAGTTTGAAGTTACAAAAAGAAGAAATCATTAAATATATAATCTGCTCATTAATAGAGGCAGAACAGTTGAAATTGACTTTCTTTTGCAAATACTGAGCATACTACTGAGTATATGAGTAAACAATATCCCGCACAATAATCGCAAAATAGATAACAACAGTCTGAGGCAGATCAAAAAGTAGCATAATAGGAAAAATATCATATGTTTATTCTATACAAGAAGCAATTCACATTTATTCAAACTCACTTCTGTTTATTCTTACGCAATGGTTTCAACACACGTTTGTAGTGTATATAAAATGATCTATTTTGAATTAGTTTTTATACCTTTGTAACGTATGCGTTTGTCACCACGTGCAGATTCGGACGGTTCATGGCAGGTCTTAGGAAAGCCTTGGCTGTACTCCATCTTTCTCCGCTTCTCACTGTCTCTTGTCCAAAACAAAAGCCTTGTGTTGATTTAAAAGAGAGGAATGTTAATTTTATATAGGAACAAAGATAAAAAAAAACTTGAGAGTAATTATCTCTTGTTTAATTCCTTACAATGCAACTTTGCTCAATAAAGGGATTCCTCCTTCCCATCCTCTTTAGCATGGCATCTCAGTCGGTAAAGCGCTCACTTTGTGATCTTGAGCTTTTTAGTTCCGATCGAGGCCACGACTAATCCAAATCGATATGATATGGGCAGCAACTATTCTTTCGCCATGCGCTAAGCACTTGAAGTTATAGTTTAGGGTCTCTCTGATGAGACCTCAAATACTTAGATCCCGTGTAACTACAGGCATTGGCACGATAAAGATCCCTCACTGCTCAATGGTCCTGAGTGCTGAGTAAAGGTCAAAATTAGAAGCTTTTAACCAGTATAATGCGACATCTCTACATGAGTGAAGAATTCTCGAATTGTACGTACAACAGCATACAATCAATCAATTCATTAATTCATCAGTCATGATTGAAACAGTTAAATGAAAAAAAATTTACATGTATAACTATATTATATATATGTAAAAAACTCTCCTAAATCCAAAACTAAGACATCTGATATGAAATAGAAGCATGCTATCTCCAGATTAAGTAAATAAGTATATAACCTATTTGCGACATTCCATTACAGTCTACAACTCTGTATCCCAATTCCTCCATTCCCCTTCTATACACATTGTCGCTGAGATTTGTTGCTGACCCATCACTGACAGTCAAAGGACCGCCCATTCCATGGTACGCTGTAAATATTTATAGGAAAATTTATTTTCTTAAGGGGAGAAAGTCAAATATTTATTAAAATCACAGTAATGAATACCTTAAAGCCTGTCTTTAAATTGAGATTAATTATCTGGAAGAAAACAAGAAAAAAAAAAATACGTGAAAATCGCAGGCTTGGTATTTGCATATCTTCAGACTTGATAAAATACGGAAGTACATCTTTGTAACTCCATTTATCTGCACCCTCTCTGGCCCATTTATCAAAGTCATGTCGACTACCTCTTATGTACTGCAAATAGTCTATTGAACTTGTACCACCGAGGACACGCCCTCTTGGCCACGTGCATTTCTAAAAATAGATTTAATATACTTGTTCAAAGAAGAAAGAATAAGGTGGATAAGAAAAATACTCGTAAAATAAAGTAGTTGGCTTCTAAGAGAAAAAAAGGTGTTTACCATGGTCTCAATTTTTTAAGTTTACTGATGATCATTATTTATAAAGAAAAAAATTAAATTGTAAATCGAGTTCTTAAATTGCATTTATAACTTTAAATAGCAATACATCAACAAATACAATTTCTTCAAACTTAATATTTATTTCATAGTTACGGTGCACAGGAGAAATCAAATTCTGCTCGTAAGTTTATAAATAAGTTGTTTGTACCATACCTCATTTAGGAGAAAAATTCATACACGTAATATGTAAGATTCAAAAACAACTTCGCGTAAATTATTTATACAGTTCGGTACATATATTGAACCAGAAGTCTCTGTCGAGACTGAAGCCCTACTGGTTTTTACTTGTAGCAAAGGAAGAGAAAAATAGCAGCTTGGATTTGAAACTTTACAACAGCAATATATAGAATAATGCTCCTTGATTAAGTCTCTTAATGTTTTTAGTGTAGTCTACTTGCATGCCACATTATTTCATAATCAGACTAAAACTGTATTTGGGGTAGCATTTTGAAAATATTTACAGATATTTCTATCTTTAGTAACCAAGGCAATAATCTTCATCAAAATCAAAACAATAAATAAATTGTACATTGTATATCTTAATGTAGACTACTTCTGTGCAAAATTATATTGAAATCAGAACAAAACTGTAGGGGGAGTAGTATTTTGAAAGTATTTCACAGAAAGTTATATTGCTGGTAACCATGACAATATCGTTCATAAAAAAAGAAAAACAAATACATTAAATTGTGTATGTTAGTGTAGATTTCTTGTGAACCAAGTAATGTTGAAATCAGACCAAAACTGTAGGAGCAGTAGCATTTTACATACAGCAACACCATTCACCGAAATCAAAAACCTTTACACAGAATTTTGAATCTCAGTGAAGTCTATTTGTATGCCAAGTTATATTGAAATTAGACTTTAACTGAAGGAGGAGTAGCACTTTGGATGTTTTTCACAGAAATTTCTATTTTTAGTAATCAGCGCAACACCTTTCATGGAAATCTAACACCGATACACTGAATTGTGTAAGTAAGTGTAGTCTACTTGTGTGCCAAGTTATATTGAATTCAAGCCAAAACTGTAGGAAAAGTAGCATTTTGAAAAAAAAAATTTAGAGAAATTTCTACTTTTAGTTACCACGACAACACCGTTCATCGAAATCAAAACCGATACGCAGAATTATGTATCTTAGTGTAGTCTACCTGTGCCAAGTTATATTGAATTCAGACCAAAACTGTAGGAGAAGTAACATTTTGAAAAATTGTTTACAGGCTGACAGACAGACGGACAGCTAGACATTACTATTGCATAAGCTCTTCTGGTCTCTGGGTCAATGAACCATTAAATGGTTCTCAACAAAATACCGAATTCCCCCCCCCCCCCAAAAAAAAAAAAAAAAAAAAAATACTGCACGTTTTTAAAACAAACAAACAAATAAACAAACAAAAACTCTTGATCCGAACAGCAAGGAAGGTAAAATAAAAAACATTAATTTGTTAGAAAACAGTGGAAAACAAATATCACTGCTTTATCATCTTGGTACCTTATCCTTCTTATCTTGACATGTAAACTTTTGAGGAACTGTCCTAAAATCCCAATCTTGTTTTGTCGCTTGCAAGACTCCGAACATGAATGGGACCTGCATCATTTTATGTTCATCCTCGGAACTTCCTGCCTCTACAATAAGCACCGATGATCCTAAATCTTCTGAAAGTCTGTTAGCGAGAACACAACCTGCAGATCCAGCTCCCACTATTAAAATGATACTTTCATAAAGGAAATGCGTATCATTTTTATATGAATGAAAATTAACAAAATAAGAAGAAAAATTATAATCGTGTTATTTATAAATAAATATTAACAAAATTAACAGATAAACAAATCAATTTATATCGGTAATTATTTCTCCGTATAGATTTCAGCATTAACTTTCTTAAAGGAAACAAAATAATTATAATTAAAAAAAAAAAGATTTGTACCTATAATGTAGCTGTAATGATTGTTTATCTCTTTATTTTCTCCTCCCTTCAAATCCTTTTTTTCCATTTCTTGTACCGCATGGTAATACAGCAAACAAAACAATAATATCCCCAAAATAGTCCATCTATACTCGATGACACAACCGCAAATGCCAAGCCAAAACATAATTCCCAAACAGGTGTACAGAATCCAGGAAAACAACCCAACAAAGTAGTCCGCCACATTTCCTACTTTCCCTATAATTATTTAAAAAAAATTTTACGTAGATCTCGAAACAGAAGTTCCCCGGCCATCTTTTTTATTAGATTGTATTTGGTTTATACTATGTATATAATAGAAAAAAAGCTCATAAATTGAAATATATGGAGATAACGAACAGATTTTAAGCTCTTAAGTCCATTAAACAATAAAGGCAGGAGCAGAGCAAATACAAACCTAGAAAACATCAGAAGTGATATCAGTTGTCATGAAGTAGTCAGCTTTCCCTGCCGATCGGTCGAATAAAATGATTCTTACCTGTGACGTAGTTGTTTACATCGCTAGGTATACTTTCCTCTGCATCTCCATTCTTTCCATACGAATAATTGTACACAAGAACAGTAAGCAGCACCCAAAAAATAAATGATGATATTGTCATGGCTATCTATATCTACAAAAAATACCCGGATAAAAACATTGACCGTGCAGTACAGAGTAAATCCGGACTTTATAGAATGCAAAAGGAGTTGAACCATCACGTGTTTTCTTTATAATTTACAAGGCTGCTAGCATATCTAAATCTTTGTTAAGGTGACGTATGCTGTTAAAATAGGGAGGGGGACAAATGTTTAAAAAGTAAAAAGGTAAAACTATTCTACAATATTGAGCTTTTTTATTACTCAAGCTTTTCACTAACGGAATATGTATCAAGAAGCAAATATAAAGTGATTTAAGAATGGTAAAGATTTACAAATTTAGAAAAAAATCGCCTCCTGATTTGCTTGTCTGCAGTGGTTTAATATTTGAAAAAAAAGTTATATAACATAAAAAGTAATCCACTTGATTACTCACATAAGTCTTATCCTCGTTTAAAGAAAATTTTAAAAGGTTGGTACGAGTAATATAAAATCAAACATGGTCGAATTATTCTAACAACGTATTTTTCACCAATAATAAATAGATTTTTTTCTCGATCACTTTAAAAAAGCCACTTAAAATATTAAAAAAAAAATGATTAAGCATGCTAGATTTCAGAACACATTATATTTCGATTACTAATGAATTAAGAAGAATGTTAGAATAATACTAAAAAAGCATACGGATGTCAATTATCCCTTTTTTAAATACAATTTTTGCCTCCTCAGTGTACCCTACGTGCTTTCCATGTATACGAAGAAGATACGCCTCTGCTTAATTGGAAATCTTGGATCCACCTGCAGTCTGATGATTAAACACCTCTGAAATTAACATACATACTGTATCGTTACATAATATGCCTTCTCACATACAAACAAAAGTTTATTAGAGTACGTTTACATTGACTACGTATTTTGTCCACAAAAACTTTTAAACTACGTTTCATAATAATTACTTACTTACTAATGATATAGAAAGAAGGCTACATTGAATCTACGTACATAAAAATCCATGCAGGAAGGAGATTAGAAGCCGTGAAAAAAGGGATCTGGTATCTTACGAATGTTAACCTGCCATTTCTGCATATCACGTAATGTTAATTCACCCGGAAATCGGGTCGACGGTTAGCGCCTCCTTGCGTGTTGGGTTGTTACTTATAATTCATTCATACAATCTGATTCTTCTGTTTTAAGAAGTCAGAGTGTCCCCTACTCACAATCTTTATATCTAACCTGGATACTTTGAAAACAATTACATGTACCTTTGTGTATGTACATTTCATTATTTATTGTAATGAAAACGTCAAGTTAGACTAAAATGTTGGCTGATTTTATTTTACTTGCATTTAAGTCTTGAATGGTATTCACATTTTCAAATATATCTTCACCACCGGGTCCCTATCCATTCTCTTCTCAAACATAGTGTGACAGCATCATCCATTGGAAATACAATTTCAGTTGAGTGCACAATCCTAGTCTCGACATATATTATAATGTATCCTTTGCTTCTAAACATTAATTCATAGACGAATAAGATTTTGATAAGAGTGTACGAATATCAACATAACATGAGAAAAAAAAAGACACTAATGCTTCAATTGAATTTTATAAGATTTGGAGTAAGTAGACACTACTGAGCTTAAAAGGACATGAATATTGAAACAATACAAAGTAGGAACAGAATGAACAGGGACCATTTAAATATCGTAGATGGGATCGGGTATCATAAAACATTAAACATTCCATGTAAGTCAGTTTATACACCCGTCGTGAGCTTATTGTCATGGCCGAACAAACCAAAAAATCTGTAGAAAGTTTTAGGTTTTAATAATGTATTAACAATTTGTATGATAAACGCCAGTTAGCTTTGACTTCATAATAGATGTTGTTTACGAACAATGAATTTTTAAAATGAACACATAGAGAACACTAATGTCACTAGTGTTGATGATGAATTTTGAAAAGACATATCAAAAAAAAAAAAAAAGAAAGAAAGAAAGAAAAAAAAAAGAAAAAAGAAAACGGAATTGTCATAGTTTTTTTCTTCCTTTAAATACAAGTAAGCTCCTTTTAAAAGAAAATAAAAAAAAATTAAGAAAATTATTTTGAGAAAGAAGGTTCGATGTTTTATCGATGTAATATTTACACAATGTACACCCTTATAAAACATGAATTATTTTATTTGATTGATCGTAAAGAATTTGTTTCCTCATTAAATTGTCATATTCCCGTTGTTATCAATGTGCCCGTCTGTGCTTCCTTTTAGATTGTAAAAAAGGACAATTTTTCGTTCCTTATTACAGATTTTATCACCCAACAAGATAATAAATTGAAACTGAATAATTCATTCTTTGTAAGCATGGTTTTAAGGAACAAAACAAAGTTTAAAATTCAAAATTGTCCTGTTTCTGAAAACTGTCACGTATTTAAAGCTTTAATCTTAGATCTTAGGAACTCGATTATCATTGAAAATTTTGTGACTTAATATCTTTTTTCATGCAAACTTTTTTCATACTTATCTGTACGAGGGTGGTCCCAAAAAGTCGTAGACAATGTTTATAATTTTTTAAACATGCAACCATTACTTACCAAATTTTGAATAGACATAAAATAGTCAATGTTCTTTAAAATTGTGAATTTTTAAATACATATCTTTTATATTAATACTATTAGGACGATTTATATGAATGACGATAAGGCCTGCCGGCGCACGGACAAAATTTGGAATAATTTACGCATATATCTATTACATTTGCTTTCATTTCTTTAGTACTGTGTAATACATTGTACTCAAATTAGAATCACTGAAACCAGAATCAAAATCTGAATAACATGTCAAAATTTCATATAAATATCATTAGAAACAGACGATTGGTGTCATGATTTTCATAGTATCGTTGAAATTGAGTAGGCTGAAAATGACGTCGTCAAACGCGTAGTCGGCGCACGGAGATGTAATAAATTGTGTTGGGTGTGGTCAATATACATCAGAGACGGGAAAAAAGAGTAGAGAAGTGACATTTTACAAAAGATTCAATGAGAGTTTTTCTCCTGTACCGAAAATAGTTAATTACGGCATGTAAGAAGAAGAGTACGGTTTGTTAAACGCAGAAAATTGGGAACAATCTGGACCGTGAACGACGTCAAACAATTTGTATTCTCTGCTGCCCACAATGTAAAACAATCTTTCGACAAAATTTCGACGGAAACAAGTAAAACACAAACGGAAGTAGTGGTCTATCACTTAAAAAATTATTGAATGTTAATACAGTACCCGCGAGTGAAGCAGACAAAGAGTTCATGACGTTATAAGAGACGTAATTTACGCTTGCTTTCGTGCGCCGGTGTACACTTATATTCTTTCTGTATTTTTTCTTAATTTTCTTAAAAGATGTGATATCATCATGAAACTTGAAGTGCATGACCATAAAATGTTACTCTTTGCTATGACAAGGAAAGAAATTCAATAAAGCAAAGAGAAACAAAATTGTTTCCCCTGTCTACGAATTTTGGGACAACCCTAGTACATCTATATGTTATTATACATATAGCATAGTAATGAAAAGGTGAAGTTGGACTAAAATGTTGGTTCATTTAATTTTACGTGCATTTAAGTCTTGATTGGTATTCACATTTTCAAGTTTATCTTCACCACCGGTCCCTATCCATTCTCCTTTCATACATAGTGTGAAAGCATCATACACTGGAAATAAAATTAGAGTGCACAATCCCAGTCTCGACATATATTATAATGTATCGTTTGCTTCTAAACACGAATAAGATTTTGATAAAGAGCGTAAGAAATTCAACAAAACATGAGAAAAAAAGGACGCTGAAGCTTTCGTTGAATTTGTTGAAATATGGAGTAAGCAGACACTACTGGGCTAAAAAGTTCAATAAAACAGTATACAAAGTAGGAACAGAGTAAACTTGGAACTTTAAAACATCGTAGGTGCGATCAGGTTTCATAAAACATTAAACATTTCATGTAAATTAGTTTATACACCCATCGTGAGCTTCTTGTCATGATCCAACAAATCAAAAATTCTGTAGAAAGTTCAAAGTTTTAATGCTGTATTAACAATTTGCATGATAAACGCCAGTTAGCTTTGACTTCATAATAGATGTTGTTTACTATCAATGATTGTTTTGAATGACCACATAGAGAACACTTTAGCCATTAGTGTTGAGTTTTGAAAAGACATTTCTTCACCAAAAAAAAAAAATTGTCATATTTTATTTCTGTTTATTAAAACAAGTAAGCTCCTTTTAGAAGAAAAATTTCAATAACATTATTTGGGAAAAATTCTCGATGTTTTATTAAAATAATATTTATACAATGTACACCCTTCAATAAGATTATATTTGGCTGATCGTAAAGGATTTGTTTCCTTATTAAATTGTCATATCTCCGTTGTTATCAATGTAGATTTCAAAGAAAGAAATATTTAGGTGGTTAATAAAGTAAGAAAATCTTTGAAATAACCTATAAACTAGTTGCTGTTCCTTTAAAAATGATTGAAATACGTGCACCAAATACGTATGGTTCGGGCAGTGAAATTGGAGTATACCTTGGATATGGAGTATTCCATATCTAGTCACAACAACCCTCAATGCATCCAAGGCGAGTTCATTGGTTACTCTGAAAGGTGGCAGGTTAACCTATTGTTATTATTTACAACACGGATATGAAAATACTGTCTTTCTAAATTTGGCCAACAGTTTTTTCATTTAAAATTCGGGATATTTCCATGCTTGTACATGTATTATGGAACCAAAGTCGGCTGTAACGCAATATGTAAACTTTTGAGGAACTGTCCTGAAATTCAAGTCATGTTCTGTCGCTTGCAAGACTCTTGACATGAATGTGACCTTCATCATTTCATGTTCTTCTTCGGAACCTCCCGCCTCTACAATAAGTACCGAGGATCCTAAATCTTCCGAAAGTCTGTTAGCAAGAACGCAGCCTGCAGATCCCGCTCCCACTAATAAAATGAAAAGTTCAACCAGATAAAAAATAATATAGAGTTTTAATGAATAACATTTGATAAAAACAAGGAAAATATATACTGTAAAACGAGAATATTTGGCGCACTACTAATTTTAGCGCCTTTGGCGCAAGAGCCCCTGAGCGCTAAAATTTATTGTGCGCTAAAGGATTTCTAAATATCATTTTTTTGTGTGTGTAAGCTTTTACATAAGTACATGTAAACCGGAACACCCGATTACGTAATGTCGAAGGGTCATTGGAATTTATATACACAGTAGACAGTACTGCACATGTTCGGAAGACAGAAAACTGCCAAATTATAATTTAATTGAACTATTGTTACCCCAGTAATTGTTACACAATTATTATCATTAGCACCTTCAAAGTTTGGCTTCTCGGCATGTCAATTATCTATCGCCTCGAGGTAAACAGTGCAATCAAGCATGGCGATTGAGCTTGCAGACAATACCTGATTAGGATTACCGTTTTATCGAAGTCATTTTCTGTCGATGCATGCATTGTTTTAATATGATTTTAAATGAGTAAATTCTCTATTTCTTTTAATAGAAAATAGAAATAAAATACATATTTAACATTGTGTCACGTCCATGTGATAGGAACACGAACCGCGGTAAAGTTAACGAATGTTTACTGATATACGGGAATACTTATGTGTTTCCGTGCTCGACTAACCATAAAATCAAAAACGGGTGTGGATTAAAAAAATTGAAAATTAAAATATAAATATTTTATTGACATGTGCAAGCGCTAAAATTTATTTGCGCTAATGCATTCCCACTTGCGTTTGCGCTAAAATATGTATGCGCCAAATTTTCTCGTTTTACAGTATAATAGACACGTAGTTTCATTAATAAATAGATAAATAAATATAAATAACGAATGACATATGCTTTCAAAGTGTAAGCATCCCAAATTAATTTCAAAAAAACTGACAGATACTTGTATTAAACTAATAAAGATAAAAAACAAGCGTAGGACAGTGTTAATCTTCGTAAACGAAAATGATATAAAAAATATTTATACCTAAAATGTAGCTTTATGACTGTTTATCTCTCTGCTTTCTCCATCCGGATCATTGAAATAATATTTTCTATTTCTTGTTGTTTATGTTCGTACAGAAAATATAAAAGTAACACCCAAAAAATATTCCACCTCAATTCTACGACACAAACGCAAATGCCAAAGTAAACCAGAATGGCCAAATAGATGTAGAAAATCCGGGAAAACAACCAAATAAAGTAGTCCACCACATTCATTACCCTCCCTGTAAATAAATGTTAAAAGTATCAGGTAGATCTAGAAACAGAAATTCCCTGCTCATTTTTAAATTACTTTGTTAAGTGTATATAACTAGAAAAGGTCATAAAATGCATGGAGATAACGGACAGTATTCAAGCTCAAAAGTTCATTAAAAATAAAAAAAAAAGCATGAGCAGAGCAAACATATTGACCATCAAAACATC